GGGGGGGGGGGGGGTTGGGTTTTTCTTGTTTGTTCACTTTCAGAAAAGCAGTACTAAATAAAAGATGTCTTTATTCTCTTCCAGGTTGGATGGCAACTGAAAAATCTGGTGGCAAAGTTGCGAGAGAATCCTGCTGGTGTTAGGCTGCTGCTTAAGAAACGTCCTACTGGCTCTTTCCATTTCACTCCTGCTCCGCTAAAGAACCTGCGCTGGAAACCACCCTTGGTGCAGGTGAGAGGCTGCCGGCTCAACTCTGACACCAGGATGGGAAAGCCTTGGTTGCAACTTGAAAAAGAGAAATACCAGAAATGCTTCCAGGTACTCATGTTTAAGTATAGATCAAGGAAGATGAAATGGCTGTCCTCTTCTGTGTCCTAGATAAAAGGGAAAATGTTCCCCTCTGCTCTTGATACACAAAGGGACTAGGTGTGTTGAACATTTTAAGTTCTCCCAGTGGCGCACAGACTGATTATCTGAGGCAAAGCTGCTGAAACCCCTGATATGTTTGGAATTCATCAGCATGGAATAATTAATGCTTCCTCTGTTTAGCAGAGTAATACGTTTTGCTGAAATAACTCAGATTATTCCATATATTTGTCCTCTTTTTAGTCTGGGGAAAGGTGGGAAAGTGTTTTTCAAGAAGTTACTTAAACTGCTTGTTTAAATAAGATTTGATTGTTAGGCAATTCGCAGATTGAGTAATGAGCAGACATAGAAAGTGATATTAATAACTCTTAAATAGGTGTGTTGAGGAATGGCTTGTTGTATTAGGAAGCTTAGGGCTTTAATGCTCATAGGAGAAAGTAACTGAGTTGAATCTGAACTGGTGTCCTGAAATAAAGAAAACCAGGGAGAGTTCCCATTCCTATTCCTGTTCTGATGTCGGTCTCCCTACAGCTGTGAGGATAATTTACCAACCAGTAAAATGCCAGTGGCGATTACAAGCCTTGATGCAGGCAGGTTTCTCTTAAACTGGGTAGAAGATGTGCATTTGACTCCTTTCTCATCCTTCCTTTCACCAATGCCTGTGTCTTGGTTTTGTGGCATAATGCCTTTCATTTAATCAGAGCCAAAGGAAAAAAAAAAAAGTGACTTTTCCAGAGTTACCCAAAGCAAGGGCTGTGTCACTAGTGTGAAGAACTGAGGTGGGCTGGGATATAGGCCATGCCAAGGAGGGTTTCCTTGAGGGAATGAATGATTGGGGAAGTCTGACAGTTCTGGGCTCCAGTGTACTGACTGGTAAAAGGCAGGTGCTTGTGCAGGGGTGCCATTAATTGAATGGCCAGAGTGAAAGCCTGGGCAGACCCTTGACAAAAAGGGGAGAGTGCTGTCCTCTTGCTCTACAAAGGTGAAAGGGTCCTTCAAGCCTTTTGTCTCCTAGAGGCAGACAGGAGCCTGGCAAGATGTTGGGGACATAAAAGTAAGCCACAAAAAGCAGAGTGGCAAACTTGCTTAGATGAGCGATACCAAATATATTTTCCCTTTGTTTCCCTTACCCTATTTATATCCCTTGATGCAATTTGTGGTGAACTTTACCATATTCCTGCCCATACCCCACATGCTGGGCTGTATGGAATAAGAAGTGTGAGCTGGCTTTGTATGTGTTGCAGATCATATCTGTATTTAACAAATTGCATTCTTTTAATGGATCTAAAAATAGAAGAAGGGGTTTTGTTTCTGTTGCTTTTTCTGTCTGTGGAATTTGCAGGAAAAATAGAACTGGAAAGAGCAAAATATTCTTGAGCAATGCATTACCCGTGGTAGGATTTCTGTAGGAGGGACTGCAAAGCTAGCCAAAACTGGGGGTGGAGGAAAATGTAAATGCTGAGAGTTTTTAATGTGTATATTAAACATAGTTGACTAGGAGATGATGCTAGGAAATGGTGCTATTGATTATTGAATTATCATTTTGTGAATGTCAGATGTTTGTGAATGACTCGGATGTTTGATAGCTGTCTAACATTTCAGACGAGTCCTCCGCCAACTTCAACCCAGTCGCCAGAAAGCACCATGGATACCTCACTGAAAAAAGAGAAGCCAGCCATTTTGGATCTGTACATACCACCTCCACCAGCTGTTCCATATTCTCCTCGGTATGCAAATAAACATACACTACTGAACAGAACAACTCCTTTATTACGCTTGTTTCTGAGCTGCCTTGCTCTTAGAGCTCTGTGCAGGTTAGCTTGAGGAAATTGCAGGTCTCTCAGATTTTGTTCTGGCTGCTTAAATGCACAGGATTGCTTAAACTTATGCTTAAATGCATAAAGTATCATAATAGATTTTATTATTAGAAGATTGTGTGACACAGTTGTTCCCAAAACATGAAGGGATGTCATCCCTGGTTTTATTGTGAAGTTATGTTTTTGATTTTGTTTAAATCTAACTGCACACAGCAAGAAGTTGTTTTTGTCTGTAACTTTTTCCACCTTTTTTTTTTTTTTTTTTCAGCAAGTAACTGTTGTGGGAGTTAGGATAGAAAGCAACTTGTTTTAAATTGTTAAACTTGCAAGTTGTATAAAACAGGAATGTTCCCACTGAAGGGAAGGGAGAGTCAATTAATTTTTTTTTTTTTTTTAAATCTTGTGCTATAATCTAGGAAAATGGAAACCCGTGTACACAAAAGGCAGGGAGGGGGTAGGGCTGGTGGGTGTACACTATGGCTAGCTTTTGTTCTCAAGTCCATGCTGACTCGGATCAGAACCCTGCTAGGTGACCTGGGAAGGTGATGGACAAAAGAGTTTGCAGGCAAGGCATGCTTCCTGCCCTGCCCTGACACTTAAGGTTACATGTAGATAGCCCAGCACATAAACTCTGACCTTTTGCTGCAGGACTCATGGGAGCTTGCCTCCTGTCATGTAAGGTACAGAGACCGTGGTTGTACTACTGCAGTCTTTGGGGCAGTGCTGGGGCCAGGGGAGAGGCTATCTCCAAGGTAGGGTCTCTACTGAAGTTGGACCCACCTTGACCTGCGCTGTCCCTGGTTTTCATGTTTATGTGTGCTCAGTTCTTAAGAACTTTAAGAAATACATTAAAATCAAATCTCTCGGCATAAAACCAAGTATATAGATTTAGCAGCTCGCTTTAGAATGCCTTGGTCATTTCTTTAAATTGTTACATTTGAAGCACATTGGTGAATTATATGCATGTGCTCAGTCTTTTTATCTTTCCTAAAGAGTCACAAAATTATATCTAGCTTCAGATCCTTTAGATCTGAATCCCTGTTGACAAGGAAGAAAGTAACAGTGCGAGCTATAAAACTTGTCTTGGATGATGTGTAGAAAGAGGAAGGCTTCCTGACTTCGAATTTTAAAGAAAGCAAATGTGGGAAGCTGTGGCAGCCAGGAAGAGGAGAACAGGCATTTATTTTGCATTCTGGTTTGCTCTTTTCTTTGGTTGTTTCTTCTTTTCCCCCCTCATCATCCTGTTCTCTTCCCTTCGTGGCATGGATCTTCTCTGGTCCACACTGCGGAGGCAGAGAGCAGTGGCTGGTTTCCCTCCTCACAGCAAAGTCTCCACATGGTGGTGTTGTAGGAGAGCTCTCCACACGTACGGTTGTGGTGTAACGCTTCTGTGCAATTTTCTGTCCCTGAATCTCTACAAATAGCTTCTTCTCCATTCACTGAGCTATAGCATTGTTCTTGATGGAGAGCTGGAAAAAATGGTATGTGCTGTCCAGGGGCTCTGTTGTGAATACTGGTGCATGTGTGTGTTTAGACAGTCAGCTGTGTATTTTTATGGCTGACTTGGCTGATGGTTGCTTCAAGCCATAAGATTGTAGCATGTACAGGGAAGGGGAAAAAAACCCAGGCAAATCTTAACTTGGAAGCTAGCTTTTCTTCCAAAAGTACTGACGGGAACTGGTTCTAAAAATGGCTGTTCCTGGCCTTTGGAATGAGGGATTGCTTTGGGAAGGGAGCTCATGCACAAATTGCTCAAAATCATATGTATATACACTATGAATTTATTACTGAAAGTCTCAAGGGAGAATCACTTTTGGATGGAGAGAGATGATGATGAATATTCAGTGGCAGTTACTGGGCTTTCATAACGACTGAAAAGCACAGTCCCTTAGATGGAGGCAATAGGTGTTGCCATTACATGGAGATGGATAAATCTATGTATGCATTCCTCTGTCACAACTGTGTACTGAACAGGCAGTGAAACAGAAGCTTTGATACCCTCAGGGCAGAAAGGTCTCATTTCTCAAAAGCTTTTTCAGGGGTGGTTCCTCTAAACTTATCCACGTTAAATTACTGACTCATTAAAAGTTAATTAGCATGAAGAGAGATAGCTTTCTTTTCTCCTTGCTAAATGTGTTTATAATGAAATCTTCAATCACCTGACTTGTTGGGTTTTTTTCAGCTTGGTTTCAGCACAATTCCAGTTGTCAGGAGCATGACTGGGTGCTAGAAGTATCTTTCAAACCTACTCATGTAGCTGAAACTCTTTTTAAGCTTCTAACTGAAGTGAAATTTTCTTTCAGAGATGAAAAGGGGAGTTTTGTATATGGAGGAGGCAACAAACCCAATCAGCCACTACCTGGGTCCAAAGGTGCTGAGTCTCCGAATTCTTTTCTGGATCAGGAAAGTCGAAGGCGAAGGTTTACTATTGCCGACTCTGATCAGTTGCCTGGGTATCCTGTGGAAGCAAATATCCTACCAGCCAAGATGAGGGAAAAAACACAGTCCTATGGTGAGTTAATTCCTCTTTTCATTATTGCTGTTTATTGTGTTGCTGTTTGGTCAGTTTGGAATACTTTGTGTTAAAAAACTGCTCATTAGACTTGATGGTTATTAAGGGTAGTCTGTGCAAATTGTGAATGTGAATTAAATTCCACATCTGAAATAATTTCACTTAAATGCTGTTATTTCTTTAATGAATGGCATTCAGCTGGGCTTTGCTGCTGCTACGGTTGACCATTTCCATGTGTGTTTTGGTTATAACTTTTGGTCATTATGTGCACTGCTACTGTAAACAAGCAGAGTGTGGCTGTTCAGTCTCAGCACATTGCTTTCTTATTTCACCAGTGGAGGTATCTTGAAATTTTTTATTCTGCAATTTTAACTCCTTACTGCTGTATCTCTTCCTTTTCTTAATTGTGAAAAGTATCAATTTAAATACTGGTTTTGTGAACTTAATGTAATTCCTCACAACCTTCTGTGTTGCCTTTAGGAAAACCTCGTCCTTTGTCAATGCCTGCTGATGGGAGCTGGATAGCAGCTGCAGAACCCTTCTCTAGGCCACGAGCACCAGGGAGAAAAGGCAAGGTTTTACGTCTTGTCCCTCTTTCTCTTCACTTCCTCTCCAAAATTTACTTGGGGTGAACTGGATGGAAGTGTTTAAATTAGCAATGCAGGATTGGTGTTTGAGTATTGCTGAACTGATCCAAGATGACAGTTGTTGGTTTTAGCAGGAATGTCAGATAGTAGTTGTGAAATTTGTGAGGCTGTTCAGTGCTGGGGCTCAAGTTTGTTGTCCTGTCTTAGAATTCTTGTAAGTGTTAAAAGTAGACTAGAATGACTAGGGCAGATCTGTACTTGTCTCTTTATAGCACAGGTTTGCCATTTTGCTCTTACACTCACCCCTGTCCCTTTCTTGTCAGTTAAATATTGATTATAAAACGTCTTTTTTGATAAGTCTTTCCGTTTGTTTAGCTCTCTCCAGAGACTGTTGTAGAAGCAAGCTTGTTCTCAAAAGTAAAATGTAGGACCTTTTTGCAGTTTCTTTCTGCTACAACTGCTGTTAGAAAACAACATACCCTGCAAATGTCATAGAATGGGAGAGACACAGAAACTCTTACGGCTGGGTGGCTTTTTTCTTTTTCCCCCACTGCCCTTCCCTCCCTCCCCCATTTAGCATCTGGAAGGCCGTGAGTCCTGTTAGAGTGGGAAATAAGAAAGGATGACTATTTAGCTTAGTTTATTACTGAAATCAGTTACGAAAGCTAATGTGCAATTCTAGGGAAAATACAAACTGAATTCTATTATTTTTATGTAAAAACAGAAGCTGATAACAAGAAACATCAACCTGGAGGGATATTAGAAACAATCTAAGTAACAAGTCTAACAGAGTGATCACCAGGTGGCAGGGCTGGTTGTTATCTGTATGGCTGTTTAGTTTTGCTTTTGGTTTTGTGTTGGCTTTTTTTTTTTTAATGCTTGAAATGTACTTCAGTGCTGCAGGCTTGTATGTAAGCTGTGTTGGATCGGAACAAAGGCTTGTCTAGCTCAGTAGAATGTCTCTAGCAGCAGCTGCCATTGTCAGCTGTCTAGGAAAGAGTAAAAAGAGAAAGCATTGCAAATCAGCGGTCAAAACCAGGGGAGTGCTTATATCTTTATATTTTTATCTGCAAAATTAATTTCTGTTGTCCAAAGGAATATTTGTAGCTTTGTAGTTAGTCATGAGTTACATTCGGGTAAACGTGGATTCAACTCTGCTCTATCAGCATCTTGAATGATACATTACGAGAAGGTTTGTTAGGTCTCACTCGTAATGATTCGCATGAAGGCAGCCTGCACTAGCAGTTCTGCTGCGTGTGAATCTGAAATTTAACAGTCAAATGATAACTTATCTGTGTGTGAATTTATTTTGTTGTTCTCTGCTTAAAAAAAAAATATGCCAAAAGCCGTAAATCTATTGACAGGTGCTTATGTCCAGGTGTGTTATGAAAGGGAACCAAAATCTAGGTAATTTGAAAAGTAACCAAAATCTTTTTATAAAAATAGAAAACGTTAATACAGGGTTTTGAAGTCAGCAATAACTGGTTATGCTCCTCCTCTTTGTACAGGTGAAGATGTCCTCTGCAGGTACTTCAGTAATGAAAGGATACCCCCAATCATTGAAGAAAGCCCCTCTACACAACACCCCCTCTCAAGGCCAGTGTCTGACAAGCAGTTAGTGAGGGGAACGGATTATATTCGAGGCAGCAGGTGTTTTATGAATACAGACCTCCACAACAGTGCAACAATTCCTTTTCAAGAGGAAGGTGCTAAAAAATCCTCTGTTACATCGTCCACAAAATCTTCCTCTGCAGAGCCGTCGCTGCTGGTCAGTTGGATCACAAGACTGAAATTGTTGACTCATTGACTGTTGTTCACAGGACTGTTACCAAGTGCCTTTGCTCATCGGTCAGACTTCTCTACTTTTCAGCTTAACTGATGCATAGTGACTAATGCGGTGTTCTTTCCTGGAGAATCTTACATTTTTGCCTTCTTGTTTGTGATTATTGATGGATCAGAGGTTTTCATAGTGCAGTGAGGGGAGAAAGATAAAGATCAAGTTCCTCTTCCTGGCCAAGAGCCTGAGGGCTTTTCCCCTGGAAATGAGTAAAATTTCAGTGATATGGAGGCCACGCATGACCTGAAAATATGCATAGTGATTCAGAGGAAACATTGCATTACAGTAAAGTCCAGTGGCACTTCAGTTGTCTGAATGCTTGGAGACTGGTGCAACTAGCTGGGTGTCAAAGTATGTAGAGCTCAGCAAAAATTGTGTTACTCTCCTGACCAGGGAAGATAAGCAGGGAAACAGCAGTTTCATGCAACTTAAGTGATGCTATTGCAACTACAGTATGAGATCGACCTTGTGAGGAAGAAGTAATAGTATTGCCTTTCTTTCTCTGATATCCAGAGATCTTGGGAAGAGTTCTCTTATTCAGAGATCTTAGGAAGTTGGACTAATTTAATTATATGTCAATCCAACCTGATATATAATCCATTTTATTGAAATCACAGTACAAATAAAGAGGGCTGAACAACTGCAGTGCTCATCCATAAAGATATATGGATTGCTACAACATGCCAAGGAAAAAATGCATCTGTAGAGGTGGTAAAAGAATATATATTTTTTTCCTTAATTGTTTAAGAATGATTTGCTGTTAACCGAAGTAAGCTTTTACATAGTCCTGTTGGACTTTATAAAACTTTTACAGTGGTTCAGTTTTTGAATGATGTGTTGTTTTTATGAAAAATATGTGCTATGATACATTACAATTGTAAGACATCTTGCTATTTTCTATATAGCTCAATTTTTTTCCCTTCCAGAGTTTTAAAGTAGCATTGGGTATTTTGGGAGGAAAATAAAACTTGTTTAACAAAAGAAGAGGATATTAAAGAGGTATTGTTTAAAAAAATGTATATAAGATTGTTAGTATGCAATGGTTGTGTTTAAAGTAATTTAAATGCTAAATATAGTTGGATATATTTTTTACACTTCAACAGATACAGTTTGTACCTTCCTCTCTGGTACTGGGCACAGACTAGTCCAATGAAAAGAAAGTCTTTTGTATTCCCTGCTAATTATAAGACTAACTATTTTCGTAGTTCATACATTGCCAACAGCCTTTACTCTTTTGGTCTTGCTGAAAAGCAGAATAATTTATATTTAATAATTTGTGGGGAAAAAGGAGGTTAAATGCTAGCCTGTACTTTGGTCTGGGGCAGGAATTGTATGTGATAACATGAGTGTTAAAAGCATACTGGAATTCTGGATGTGAAGATGTGACAGTTCTGCTGCAACAAGCTTATGAAGTTGTGCTGCAGCCCCTCAGAGGTGGGGGTTAAATTCCGTTCTCAATTAATTATGTTTGTTTGTGACTCACTGGTGATTTAAGTGGGGCCTGATTTGGATCTTTCTGATCAAAGCAGATTATAATATATTTGTCTTGTGCCACTCTTCTCCACTCCCTGAGATGGCAGTCGGTACGAGAGACGTGGCCAAACACAGCTGCAGTGCAGTTGAACCCTAGACCAGTTTGGTCCTGCCTCTGAGAAGAGGGCTGAAACTGCTATGCTGTAGGCACTGTGTATAGTACAGTCCAGCCTCAAATTGACTGAACTGTTTTAAACTAAATCAGTTATTGAACTAGAATAAAGTCAGATGTTGTCTAAACCAGACTTCAAAATGAACTTCTGCTCATCTTTAATGTTGTGTTTCCCCATGGTTTAAAATTGAATGGGGAAGCATCATGCATGTTGATGGGGAAGAACCTATGGATGTACTTGGTTTCTTAGGGTTGCACCTGGGCACACTTTTAAGACACTGAAAAGTTTGCCTCCTTTGTTTGGTTAGGTTCTTAAGTTTCATTTAAGAGTAGTGAAATAAGCTTGTCCTAATTTAACAGGTAGCTTTAAAATCACTGCAGCTGTGAGGGGAAAAAAAAATTTGTAAGCATTTAAGCAGAATGAAAATTTCAAAATTTGCCTTGTTGCCTAAATACAAGCTAATCCCTCCCAACAAAAAAACCCTAACTAACCAATGTCCTCTCCATGTTCATCCTCTCCAAGCTCCAACATCCTAGCTGTGCTGAGTTAAGGTTCTGAATTTGACCTTTTGTCAGTCAGTCATAAGAATCCAGTAGTTGATTGTCCAGGGAAAGAGTTGCCTGATTCTTATGAACAGGGGAAAGAGAGGTACATTCCTGGAAATTACCAGGAGTGGTACTGAAGTTTCGTAGAATCACAGAGTAATTGAGCTTGGAAGGGACCTCTGAAGGTTGTCTGGTCCAACCCCACTGCTCAAGGCAGGGCCAGTTGCCCAGGGCCATGTCTAGACAGTTTATTAGTATCTCCAAGGATGGAAACTACACAACCTCTCTGGGCAACCTGTGTCAAAGCTTGGTCACCCTCACAGTAAAAAAGTGTTACCCGATGGTCAGAGGGAACCTCAGTTTCATTTTGTGCTTCTGGCTTGTCACTGGGCACCACCAAAAAGAGCCTGGCTTTGTCATCTTTGCGCCCTCCCTTCAGGTATTTATACACATTGATAAGACCCTGTTGAGCCTTCTCTTCTCCAGGCTGAACAGTGCTGGTTCTCTCAGCCTTTCCTCATAAGGGAAGTACTCCACTCCCTTCACCATCTTGGTGTCCCTTTTATTGGACTCTCTCCAGTGTGTCCATATCTCCTGTACTGGGGAGTCCACAACTGGACACAGTACCCCAGATGTGTCCTCACAAGTGCTGAGTAGAAGGAAAGGATCATCTCTCTCAACCTACTGGCAATACTTAGTCTAATGCAGCTGAGTTTCCACTGTAAATTAGTCAAGATCATTGAAAACACATTCATGCATGGTTTCTCAGTCAAAAAGGAGTAACGCTGGGTTTTTTTTGCTCCTCTTGAGCTTTATCCATCATCTGCAGATGACACTAAGTTGGGCAGGAGTGTTGATCTTCTTGAGGGTAAGCAGGCTCTATAGAGGGATCTGGACAGGCTGGATTGATGGGCCGAGGACAATTATATGAGGTTCAACATGGCTAAGTGCCGGGTCCTTCACTTGGGTCACAACAACCCTGTGCATCAACACAGGCTTGGGGAAAAGTGGCTGGAAAAGTTGCCGAGTGCGAAATGACCTGAGGATATTGTTCGATAGCTGTCTGAATATGAGCCAGCAGTGTGCTCAGGTGGCCAAGAAGGCCGATAGTGTCCTGGCTTGTATCAGAAACAGTGTGGCCATCAGGACTAGGGAAGTAATTGTCCCTCTGTACTCAGCACTGGTGAGGCTGAACTTCAAATACCGTGTTCAGTTTTGGGTCCCTCGCTACAAGACAGACATTCAGTGCTGGAGCATGACCAAAGAAGGGCAACAAAGCTGGTGAAGGGTCTGAGCACAGGTCTTGTGAGGGGTGGCTGAGGGATCTGAGGGTATTTAGTCTGGAGAAAAGGAGGCTGAGGGAAGACCTTATCACTCTGTACAACTACCTGAAAGGAGTTTGTAGCAAGGTGGGTGTCTTTTTTTTTTTCCAAGTAACAAGTGATAGGACAAGAGGAAACCGACTTAAGTTGCACCAGGAGAGGTTTAGATTGGATATTAGAAAAAAATTCTCACTGAAAGTGTTATCAAGCATTGGATTAGGTTGCCCAGGAAAGTTGTTGGGTCACCATCCCTGGAGGTATTTAAAAGACCTGTAGATGTGGTGCTTAGGGACATGGTTTAGTGATGGACTTGGCAGTGTTAGGTTTGCGGTTGGACTCAATGATCTTAAAGGTCTTTTCCAACGTAAATGATTCTGTGATTCCATAATTATTGATGGACTTTTGGCTATTAGAGTATACATATACAGAATATAGCAGAACGCAATATACCTCTTTTTGTTGCAAAAGCCACATCCTTACTACTGTGAACTTACTGTGAGCTCAAGTAAGCTACCTTGACTTCTTGATAGTCTTGTGTGCAAGTACTACTTACTGCACACTATGTTGCAAACCTTTTTATATAATATATGTTATGTATAAAAGTTCCTTTGGGAAGCTGGCATCATACTGGTCTTTTTTTTTTTTTTTTTTTTTTTTTTTTTTTTCTTCTCTGATTATTAGATGGAATAGTTCCAGTAGCTGTTCTCAGTGATAGGCTGTTTTGGTTTGCAGTATGAATTGTCCACATTGGATGCATGTGCTTTTCCCCTGCCCCTCCACCTCTCATGACTTTAATGCAATGACTTCACTTACAGTAACAAGCAGTTTAACATAGTGACCTAAAATGTGGCCATATATCTGGTTTTTGAAACATGAGGAGATAAGTGCAGTTGAAAGACTTATGGGAGCAGACTATATTCTTTCTATTATCTGTAAACTAGAGCTTTTTGCTTTCTATGGTGGTGACATTGATTACCAAAAAACAAAGGCATCAAGAAAACTTTGTAATAGGTAGCTGTAACTTCAGGCATTGGGAAGGTGAATTAAACACCAGATCCCTTTCTCCTTTGCTTGGATAGCTCTCAACATATGTAACTTGATCTTCTTCCAAATGCCTGCATCTTTTGAAAGACCTGATCTGATCTTATGAAACAGGTAGCTGTTAAGATATTGGCTGCAAGAGTCTCCTCTAATATAAATTTTTATTAACAGTTGTTGGGCTTTATGGTTATGCACTCATCAGTCACTCTGGAAATCTTGATTCAAAGTGAAAATGAGTTTTACTTTACATATTGTCCCTTTTCTCTCGGGAAATGTGTCAATTGTCTTTTATGGGAGAGACCTGTTGATAAATTATGTCAAGTTCAAGGGGAATTAACAGTGCCCTCTTCTTGTATGGAGCGAGGATGAGGTCTGAAGAACTGGGGGAAGGCTGTAGGTCCATAGCCACCTGAAGCCATGGTCCTCCTGCAAAATACCTGGGCTTCATAGACCTCCTCTGATCAAGATTATTCTTAACCAGTATGGCCAACCCTAGCAGAAGGAGCCTCACTTACATGTTCAAGGACTTTACAGCAGCTGCTTTGCCTATGTGTACGTCACACCAAAGCTTCTTTCCTCCATCCTGTGGAGCCTCTTGCTATGTGGAGTGATTCTATGTGGCTCTGAGAGGTGACCACTGAGAAAGGGTGTTTCTTGGCTCAGGTATGCACAAATAATATCCAAATTATTTCTTTACCCAAGAAGGATGCATGTAGCTCTTCCTTTCCTTTATGTATTTGTTACAAAGTGTTAATAATACTAGAAAAGTGTTTCCAAGAGAACTGATGGAGTAGATGGGGGAGTCAGGCTCTGATCTGGAGAGGGGCTTGTTCTGTAGAGCGCAAATGTGCTGTTGCTACTGGATGATGACGCAGTCCACGGAATAAGCTGCTGCAGATGTGTAGTGGCAGTTAATAAAGTCCTACGTTTTATTTCAAAGAAACATTGAAATCCCTCACTGTATGAACCCCAAATGACAGGGAAAATACAAGTACCATCGCAGTAAGAGAAATAAAGTGAAGTTGCAAGGAACTGGTAGAAAGAAGATCTTTAAGAGCGGCTTTTACACTGTTCTATGAAAAGCACTTGGACTTTTGATGGTTTGCTTCCCTACATGACCTCTCTTCACTAGCAAAGGATAGAGATTAAAAACCCCAGCCTTTCTGTATCTGTGCACAACATGCAATATTAACTAGCTGATATTTAGCAAACAGCAACATGGCACAGGTCATTTACCACTATCATTATCATTTGGGAGAAATGCTGGTGTTGGTTTGGGAGAATGGTTTAAAATGCAGGAAAGACCCATAGTACTTCATGTCACAATATTCCCAAGAGTGGTTATTTTTCTTCTTTACAGTAAAAAGTTCCTGTTAGAAATTATAGTGTATAGAGAAGTGTTAAAAATTCAACCTTTTCATATTGTTCCTTTTGCATTTTAATCTCCTTCAGA